CCCCACTGGCAGTTAAAAGAAAGAAACAGCAGACATTTCATATTATTCTGAGAAGCACAAAGCTAAAAGCACAAGCCTGATGATGATGAATGTGATTTCATCGAAACGTCGCTATGATACTTCTAATCTTACACGGGAGAAAACCCGAATGACCAAAGACTCACATATATATATATATATATATATATATATATATATACACACACATATGCATGCATACACACATACATACATACATACATACATACATACATACATGCATGCATTATGGTTGGTTGCAGTCAGCCAGATGTTTAAACTGGGTTTGGCATTTTGATCCACCTATCCTGTCCTAGGACGTGGAATAGGCAGATGTTATTTGATGGTGTTAAAGAGATTGCTGTAAGCCTTTCCAAGTAAAACTGCCTTTTGCAGTTATTGGTGGTGATTTTTGCCTCAGTCATTCTATTTTGTCTTCGGTGTTTTTTTCCAGTTTTTTTTCTATTCTATTCTGTCGTCTCCAGATACTACTACATCTACCATCCAGATTTTTTTTTTGTCTTAAGTATTGACAATTGTTAAGGTCTGGGGTGTTATGTGGCAGTTGCTTATGTGTTTTGAGTTCTAACCCAGAGCACTTTAGCTTATTAATTTTCTATTACTTCGTCTACTTGGGTCCCATCAGTTATTACTTGCACTCAATCTTGCAACAGCTAACTTGGTAGTCCACTATTTCTTCTGTTTATTTGCAGACACAGCATTTCTTAAGAGTTGATCTTGTGCAGCCAGAATTAGGCCCTCTCTTTTTTCAACTTTCTTGTTTTTAACTATTACCAAGTCTTCTTGTTATTTACTTTGCATATTTTTTTAAATGTCCTGGCCATGTAATACTTTGCCATGCCTTATCTCTTTTATTTGGTCTTTCCTGCAGACCAGTTTGGTGTCTCTGGCCCTCAGTAACCCTTCCTGGTATGCTAGCTTCAGTGCATCTTCTTCATTGTTCTTCAGATATCCTTCCAATGGCATTTTCCCCTTCAACTGCCTGGCATACTTGCAACATTCCATGCCCATCTGTTTTCTCTGATAAGCAGATGTAGTGGGGAAAATGCTATTGGACTCCTTGTGACAATATTAAAAATGGACATGTATATCACAGTACATCAGCTAGGGGAAAATCCTTCTTCAGATTATTGGGGGGGGGCGTACAGAACCAAAAAATTAAATCAAATTAAATATAATTAACATAATTATTTCCCTTGTATCCAATAATTTCCCCCTTCAGTCATACTAACAATTCCTGTTGCAACTAAATGCAGTTGGCTATTCTGCTGATAAATCTACCAGACCAGGAATTACCATGTATCTCATTTTTATACCGTAATTCTAAACATTGCACTTTTCTCCAAGGCCTCTGAATGTACAGATCATGCCAGAATGTGGAATATATTAAAAACTAGCTGTACCCGGCCACGCGTTGCTGTGGCTCAGTCTGGTAGAAGCGTGTGTTGCTTTTATGTCCAACAGATGGCGCTGTTTTTCAAAAAAAGCATGTTTTTACATCTATATAATATAGGTATATAAAAACATGCACGTATTCAAATGCAACATTGTGTCAAAATTTCAAAGCAATCGGTGAAGAACTTTCGGAGATTTAAGATTTTGAACAAACATTTACATTTTTATTTATATATATAGATAATAGTGTGCCAGAAAACTTGATTATTCTTTACATTTGTTTATTGTTTACAATGAACCAGAAGCTACTTAAGACCTGAATTTAGAGAAACAGATGACTCAGTCTCCATATCTGCTTCAGTTATAGAGTGCAATCAATCTTATTAGTAAGATTGATAAGAGGGGAAAGATGTAGCCACCAGAATCAAAATAAAAAGCCAAAACATGATCTATTTAAGATATGCAATATTTTAAATAAAATATTTATTTAAATAAAATAGTTCCAGACAAGTTTTATAATTTAATTGGAATTGACCTGCCTCCCTCACAGAATTTGTTTCCTCTTGCAATAAGTCTGTTCCTTTGTATCAATCCTTTTTATCTTTTTCTATTTCCCTTTCAAAGGATTCTATTAAGAAAAGGAAAGGTTCATGTAGAAAAACAGTCTGGATTATGAGGGCTAAATTAGTCTCCTAGGTGACTTTGTTAAATCTGAATGTGAATTGGTGATCAGTATAAAGTCTGTATCTGCCTAATTCAGTCATAAGATATGTCCTACTAAAATTGTCCATCTTTATTGAAAACATTCAAATTTTAAATGAAAAGAAGAAATTGCAAAATTACTTCGCTGGAAGATATGTAAATAAGCATGAAGATGGACACATGATCACATAGTTACTACCTTTCTTTCATTGCTAGATTTATAGTCAACTTTCCTTCCATGAGTTCAAAACAATATATTTCATTCAGTTCAACAGAACACATATAATACAGTTCTTGTTCATGTAGAAGTATGCCTTCTACAGTTTAGTAAGAAATACTTCCCAAGAAGTTCACATAATTGCCCGAGCAATTCATTAATTGGAAGAAAAATCCATTGGGTTTGGTGCTATTCAATTGCTGATAAATTCTTTGTAAAAAGTTTTTTTGTTCTATTGTGCCATCTTTATAAAAATTGAAAAAATTATATTATGTGTTTATAGACTTTTAACTTTACATTAGTACCAAATGTTTGAATAAAATAACGGCTTAACAATCTCAATGTGAAAGCTGTGTTTCTTGTTTCAGCTTGTGCTGGAAATCAATTCTAAAGGTTCTGTTATATGTCTCCAAGGCAGAATAGAATTATTTTTTTTTACCTTTTTCTGTCATTCCCTCAACTAAGAGTCACATGAAGATAAAATGCTCACATTTGAAGCAAAATACAACAATAAAAAAAATCAATGGTACACAATTGCACCACTTTGACCCACCACACCCTCCATGGATACTACTTGTTATCATGACCATTATTTCACTAAACAAAAAAGTTGGAAATGGCTATAAGGATTATCTATTTTGGGTTCTGATATTCAGGACAAGAAACAGAACGACAGAGACAGAGATGTGTGTCATTTATTTTGAGAACAAAACATTCAAGTTAGATGAATAATTTAATTACAGATTAAAACAGATTTTCCAAAGTGGGGGGAAAGCCCCAATAATATTTCATCAGTTCCTCTGATCAATACTGATCAATCAATCTCTTGAGAACTTTCCAAAGGATTTCAACTATCGGATTTTATTTTCCATATCTACTTTATTTCCATCCTTTTCCCATGATAAATCTATCCATCATATCCAAAGCCCTTTCTGGTTGGTCATAAGGCAAGATGTGTCCGCCTCCTCGAACAATGACCTATGAAATTACATATAAAAAATAAATTAGAGATATCCCAAAGGAATGGGTGGAAAAATGCTCCCGGACATATTAAATAGCATTATCTATGGAACTCTGTTTTAAAATCTTAGTCACTACCTATTATCTGATCCTTATTTAATAACTTGTTCATGCAAAGCAGATACACAAACAACCACCTACAAATCTCACCATTTATGTTAGAAACATATCCATAATAAGCTTCAAGGGCTGTCCTTGAAGAGCTCTGGAAACTTCAGATGATACAGAATACAGTTGCACAGGCTGTCAATAGTGTGACTATTCGGCACATATAACACTTCATGAGCTGCATTGGTTGCCAGTATATTTTCAAATTAAATTCAAGGTGCTAGTTGTCACTTTTAAAGCTCTCTGTGACTTTGGAAAAGGTTAACTGAGGGACCATAGAATCCCAGTTGATTCTACCTGGGCTCTGGGTCCCATCAGTCAAGGAACGTCAACTTAAGAAGAGATGTGTCCTTTCTGCCATAGTTCTTGTCCTGTGGAACATTCTCCCTCCTGAGATTAGAATAGCCATAATCCTTTTGAAAGGCTTTGAAAACTTAGCTATGTACCTGGCTTGTATGTAAAGAACTCTGTTTCCTGGCTGCATTGACACCAAAAGATTATAATATCTCTTGGCTATTTTTTTGCATTAGATTTTATCTATTTTAATTATTTTTATGATCATTGTCCAAAGTTGCTGGTTTGCAGTGGGCAACTATACAAATTAAACAAATACAGGGGACATGGGCAGCATAAAAATTTAATGAATGAACAAATAAATGATCTACAAAGCTATTCTTAGTTGCATTAGTAGTATTAGTACTACCAGTGCTACTAAATTGGTAATACTTGTATTAGTAATTGCCTTCACAATATATAATGTGAAGCCATAAACCACAGTTTACAGGATCAATGTTTTGTTACACACACTGTTCCATAACCAGACAAATCAAGATATGGCCTATTCCAATGTGTGATTCCAGTGATACTTCAAGTTTATTTCCTCTTTTCAATTAACATTGCATAACCATACATAACCAAATCAAATTAAAATGAGATTGGCATAAGGGAAAATGAAAACAATGAAAATGAACATTTCACAAGGAAGAAAACCTCAGGCCTCACACACAATTATTCATTCACTCATTCAGTAAGAGAACACATATCTATTCTAGACAAGTTCAAATCACCAGGACCAGATGAATTACATTCCAGGGTTATGAAGGAACTGGCAGATGTAATCTCAAAACCATCGTATCACTGATCCTGCAGCACTGGGAAAGTACTGGACAACAGAAAGAAAAAAGAATTGACACAGTTCCTATCTTCAAAAAAGATAAAAACATGGATTCAGGAAATTACCAGTCAGCCTGACGTAGATACCTGGAAAGATTCTAGGAAGGATAATCAAGTAACAAATCTGCAAACACTAGAGGCAAGAAAAGTTATAACCAGAAGCTAACATGGGTTTGTCAAAAACAAATCATGCCAGACAAATCTTATTTCATTCTTTGATAATGTGACTAAATTAGTGGATTAGAGAAATGTTAGGGACATAATTTATTTGGGCTTCAGTTAATCAGTTGACAAAATAGACCACAACCTACTTCATGGTCAGCTTAAAAAATGTAGGATGGACAGCATCACCATCAGATGGAATTGTAATTGGCTGACCAACCACACTCAGAGTATAGTCCTTAATGGAAAGAAGTATGCAGTGAGGTACCCAAAATTCTTTCTTAGGCCCAGGACTCTTCAACATCTTCATAATTGATTTAGATGAGGGGATAGAAGGGCGAACTTATCAAAGTCGCCAATGAATCTGGTGGAGATAGCCAACATGTAAGAAGATAGGTTTAAGATCCAGAAGGATCTTGACAAAACATTGGGCTGTAAACAACAAAATGAAATTCAACGATAAGAAAAGTGAAGTTTTATACTTGGACAAGAAAAACTAAATGCACAAGTATAGAATATGTAGTACCTGGCTCAATAGCAGTAACTGTGAGAGGGATCTGGGATTCCTAGTGGAGAATCACTTAAATATGTGTCAGCTGTATGCTGCAGCCACCAAAAAAGCCAATGCAGTCCTAGGCTACATTAACAGAGGATAGAATCAAAATCATGTGAAGTGTTAGTACCACTTTTATTCTGCTTTGGTAAGTATTCACACTTGGAGTACTGCATCCAGTTTTGGTCACCATAACACACACAAAAATGTTGAGATTTTAGGAAAAAGTGCAGAGAAGAGCAACAAAGATGATTAGGGGACTGGAGGCTAAAACATGAAAAACGGTAGCAGGAACTGGGTATGTCTAGTGTAACAAAGAGCATGATAACAGTATTCTAATATCTCAGGGGCTGCCTCAAAGAAGAGAAAGCCAATCTATTCTCCAAAGCACTGAAGGCAGGTCAAGAAGCTATGAATGGAAACTTATGAAGGAGAGGTGCAACTTAGAAATAAGGAGAAATTTCCTGACATCTAGAACAATTAATCAGTGACACTGCCTCCAGAGGTTATGGATGCTTCATTGGAAGTTTTTAATAAGAAATTGGACAACCATTTGTCTGAAATGTTATAGGGTCTCTTGCTTGAGCTGGAAGTTGAACTAGAAAACCACTGAGATTATTCTGTTATTCTGCCTTTCTATTTGTGTACTGCCAAATCAATGTTTCCTCACTATCTTTACAACAATCCATTCAAAACTCACATAAATAGCTGAAGCTGTCCCTTCACTTGAACCAGATTTTGAAACACATACTTATTTAAAATTGCAGTGATCAAACTCACTTGAAATCATTTTGACCTCTATTCTAATGCTTCAAGACTTCCCTTCTATTCTGCAATCCACGGACAACTATCAGGAGATAATGCTAAACATCTTATAAATGCCAGCAATGTCATTCAGGCTTGATGGAACTGCGAAAGCTAAAGTTCCACATGTACATATACTTTCTTGGGGGAAAAAAAGACTAGACAGTCTCTCTCTGTCCAGAATTGGAAGAAAGAGTAGAAAAAGAAAAAAAACCTAACAGGATTCAATTCCAAATGGTATTTATGCGCAAACAGAAAGTAACAGTAGAACTCACAGAGAAAGAAATATTTAAAAGGCAGAATATATTTCCCTAAAGGATTTTAAAAGCAGAAACCAACTCCGCCCCCAAGTCTCTCTGTCCCAAACAGAAAACAAGTCTGCAGAATTGCAGATGTGATAATCTTGTCAGAAAGACTGGAGTCAGGGAACTGGTATTAAGAAGAAAGATCCCTAGAATCAACAATCCCTCACACCAAAAATCTAAGAGTCATCACAATCCCAGGGAAGCAGGATTGACCTTTGAGACATAATAGGATTAGCCCACCACCATCAGAATACCAGAAAGGCACACTCAGACTCAGGTCAAAGTTCATGCCACAGGAACAACTCCAAACAAAAGGCTCAAGAAAGTATAAAAACCCACTCCCTACATGTGTTCTCTCTCTCTTTTCTTCCAGAGCCATCTTTCTGTCTGGCTCTCCTCTTCAATAAACTGCAACCTTCTTTCTAAAGCAGTCGCCACGTTGTTTATTCCCGGCTTGGACTGAGCCATGATGAAGACTTTTCCTTCAACAAAAGATTGTATTGAGCATATACCATTTTTATTCTCTCTCTCTCTCTCTCTCTCTCTCTCTCTCTCTCTCTCTCTCTCTCTCTCTCTCTCTCTCTCTCACTCACACACACACACACACACACACATCACCATCATCATCCTAGTTGTGAAATTATTAAATGAAACAGCAATGTGTGTGGTAAAGACCTGAATTTCTATGACAGTTCTTATACAAACAGAAAAATATTGTGAGACTGCTGAACTTGACAACTGGAAGAAGGAAGGAAAAACTAATAGGACATAAGAAAAGAGAAAGCATATTAAGCAAACAGGCATTTTTACTTTACTAAATTCACAACTATACTTTTATAAATGAATCAGGAATTATTTTAAAGCAAACCCCAATTGGATTTGGATTGTTTATTTGGCTTGCTTAACGAAATAATTTATTTGAAACCATGATTTAATTACGAATTATCTGAAACAGAATGGTATCATGGATTATTCATTCTTCCAAATGCACAGAAGGAAAACATATGTGACCAAGCCTTTTGCATGGGACTCTATGCAAAATTATACTGAACAGTAAAGCATTATTTTTTAAAAAATAAATAAATAGTGGAATGGTAGAAGAAAATAGCATATTAATCCAAGAAGTAACTTTGGGATAGAGAGGCTTTTTATATGCTTTTTAGTTGCTGTTGTCATAGGTGTATTTTATTAACTACCAATCTCAAGCTAACATTAACTTCTATTTTGTGACCTTTTTATAATATTAAATAAATTTGATTTTAAGTAGAGTTTTGATTGCTTTAATGCATTCACTTTGGCTAATTCAATAAACTAAATTATTTCATTGTACTATAATTGAATACATCCTTATTTATTTTATATAGAACCAATGTAAACTAGCACATTTTTTATATTAAGGTCATGTGGCAGGAAATTTTTTCAAAGCTTAAGATTCTTAGTATAAATTAATAGTAAATGTTTTCTTTTGAAACAGCAAAGACTTATCTTAAGTTGATTAGAATCTTCTGCAGTTGTTTTGATATTAAGACTGCATTAGCCATACTTAAGTGTCTAAAGAATACCAGTCAGAATCCCAAAACAGCAAAACGTATTTCTAAGAATTTGTGTTGCTGATTGAGAATGTATTTTTTTGTGACAAGCCAATGCACAATAATAGCCTGTCAAAGGCATATCATTTTTTTTGTCTAGAGTTAACAGTAGTAATTCTGATCAATTGTCCACCCTAAGGGAATAAGAATAGAAAGAAGATTTGGTAAAATAAATTCTTGTTGCTTCTCACATCATTAATCAGTTTGGGACAGAGAAGACTGCATATGTGAGTCAGTTTGGTCTAGTGTTTAAGGAACCAGGCTAGAAAGCTAGAGACCATGAGTTCAAGTCTTGCCTTAGCCAGGAAAGCGAGTTGAATGACTTTGGGCCAGTCACTTTCTCTCAGCCCAACCCACCTCACAAAGTTTTTGTGGGGAAAATAAGAGGAGAGATGTGTGTCGGTTATGTTTAGATATGCCACTTTGAGTTATTTGTAAAAATAATGAAGGCAGCCTACAAACAAATAAATAAAATAAACTATCTACCTCTAAAATTCTTTTCTCAGTGCTTGTAGGAAGGAAATTAAATTAGATTCTAATTAGATTAGAGTCAATCACATGCAATGAAAGAAGTGGCACAGTATTTCACTTTGGCACGCTTAGAAGTAGTCCTCATTTAGTAACTATTCACAGTTACAACTAATGAAAATAACTTGGCAAACAATTCTTGCATTTACAGTCTTTGCAGGTTTGCAAAGCAAAGCAAAGCTGAAGTAACAGCATAAGCACAATTGCAGTGATTTACTTAGTGATTGCTTTGCTTAGTGAACAAGTTGCCACTCCCATTTGAGGTTGCTAAACAAGGACCTTTTCTTCACTTCATTTTAGAGAAATTCCTGGGACTAGAATAACTTGTTGATATGTCTACGACAGGATAAATAACCAAGAGATAAATTATCTTCAGGAACACCTACTGAGGTCATATGCTGATTATAGACTGAAGAAGTCATCTTTTATTTTTCTTATTCTCTTCTGATATTTTGATATTTTTATTCTTGACATGTATTTTTATATAAACATGGAACAAACTTCCCACTCATTAGCACTGATGATGTTATCTAGTTGAGTAATGAAACATCTGCAAGCAAACAACTAAACTCAAGAGAATACCAAGGACTTCAGTTTAACCCTGAGTTGCACATATTTTAATGGATTTTTCCTTCCTTCCTTCCTTCCTCCCTCCCTCCCTCCCTCCCTCCCTCCCTCCCTCCCTTCCTTCCTTCCTTCCTTCCTTCCTTCCCTTTTCTTATTCCTTTCCCACAAGTTGTCAGATAAATGGGCACACAATCAGAAAACCTTATGCCTTCTAATAAAATGTGTTAGTTTAAAAAGATTCTATCAGACTCCTGAACCTTTGCTACCATAGACTAAAATGGCTCTCCTTCTGCTGTGTCATATTTAACCTGTTTTATTTTTCTTAGAAAATAGTTCATCTCACCTGATAGAATTCACCCACTTGGCGTACATAGCCAGCAACTTCAGGATCTTTATCATGTATTCGCCATACAATTCTCTCAGCATTTTTGTATTCTTTCACTTTGCCCCATGGCACAGTAGGCAGAAATCGTTCAGTAAGTGGAGCTGCCACAATGATATCAAGTTGCCCGTTGTATAAGAGAACCTGGAAGTCAAATGTAAATACAAAAACAAGCAAAGCTCAAAACAATATTTTCAATTTGTTTTATTGATTTTTATCAACCCCAAGTATTATTTTAATTATGATCGTTGTTGTTACTCTTGATTTTATGCTGTTATGTTTTTATTATTTTATTTTGATTTCTATGTATTTTTAGTCATTTGTATAGTAAAAAAGAATATTTGGATTGTCAATAACTGATAAATATTACATCAATCATTTATATCATAAATTTAATATTAAAGGAGCAAAAACTGCTGCAGAATGAGATCAGCCTAAAAAAGGGCATCTTGAGATCTAACACAGAGAGATCAGAGACACAAAACAAAAAAGCAGAAGCCTACATAATATGGTGGTTTCTGAGATGCACAATTTCTGCTTCTGAATTTGACAAAACACTAGCAGTTCCTGACAAGTTACAGAAAGGGTCCACTTTGCAGGAATCAGGTCCTTAACCTGCCTTCACTGGGTATCGGCAGCAGCTTCACATTCTTTTAACCATAATATGCATTTCAAGCCCTTGTCACTTTATTAATTCTAGAATACTATTATTTTTAAATGTTTTACCCATAGAGATCACAATGGCAAATCTTGTCATATACCAGTGGTGGCGAACCTATGGCACGGGTGCCAGAAGCGGCACTCAGAGCCCTCTCTGTGGGCACACGCGCTGTTGCCCCAGTCCTAGGCCTTCAACTGGGTTTTATAAAACTTTTTCGCTTTAGGCCTCCGCCGCCATGTGCAAAAAAAAAAAAAAGGTTCAATCAGTCAATTTCAACTTCTCGCAGGAAAAAAAAAGGTCTTGCAAAGTTGGAATTTATTGATTGAACTTTTTAGTCCACCCAGTCTGCCATTACCACCGCAGCCACGCCCACCCAATGGGCCATGCCCACCCAATGGGCCATACCCAGCCAATGGGCCATACCTACCTGGCACTCGACGATGCATAAATGGGTTTTGGGTTGCAGTTTGGGCACTCGGTCTCTAAAAGGTTCACCATCACCGTCATATACTATTATTATATTTACAGAGGCTGGAATGAACAGCCTTAATTGCATTAAAAATGACAAAATATTGTTCAAGAAATAAATAAGGATCTAAAAGTCTAATGTTTCTATTGTCTACAAGGGATTAAGCAAACTTTGTTTTAAATTTAAAATACAGAGATGGTATTTGAACATTTGGGAAGAATTTTAAAACACATAGATGAAAAGTTCAAAACTTTTAGCTTTAGCTCTACTTAGAGGCTAGGACAGAAATACAGAAAATGTCACCAACGTTATTACATGATCAGAAAGTATCTTTCCAGAACAAGCAAGATTAATGTATGCACAAAGATGGAAACATTTGGCAGTACCCACAATGAAGGAATGGTTGGTGAAGATGATGGAACTTGCTGAGATAACAAAATTGAGGTCTTTAGTCAGAGAAAGGACAATATCTACATGTATTGCTGACTGGAAATCCCTTATAGACTTTTTGCATAAAACAGAATAAAAACTTATGATTTATGGTTTAGATTATTAGACAGGATAAATTATAGAAAGAGAGTTGAGCTGCACCTATAAATTGGGAAATTTATAATTATACCTATAATTGCTGTAAAGAATGTATCCTTTTCCTTTTCTACCTTTTACTTTTTCCCACTTTCTTGCACTTTTAATTTTATTCCTTTTTCTTACTTTGTATTAGTTTGTATTAGTTTCTTCCTTCTTCAAAATCTTTAATAAAATTATGTGTATGTGTATTTATACATAAATATACTCTGTTTTCTCTCTCTCTCTCTCTCTCTACTTATCTAGACATAGTATCACAGCTGAAATCTATTCATTGCAGTTTATATAGTTTATACAGAAATAAACAGCAGAAGCAGAACATTAAGCCATTAGACTTTGCTATTTAAATGGAAGGGAAGATTGAGAGCAGATGTGATCAGTTCAGGAACATATGCAGAGGAGGAATCAAAACCTCAAGATGGCAGTTGTGACTGAAGCCCTGTCCTTTTTTAAACAATTAAAAAAGAGATAAGCCTTCAGTTACATGGTTATAGCTGCCATCTTGCCTTTTTTCTTTCCTTATTCCTAGGGAACCAGGTTTGGCCTAAAAATTCAGAATCATAGGCATTTCCCTTAAATCCTTGGATACTGCCCCATTGAACATTATTCAGTATCCAGAGACTAACATTAATGATACTCATTTCAAAAATATTAGTTTAAATATTGTTTTTACTATATTATTATTTGGATCATCTTTTTTCATGTGCAGCATTTTTCATGCCACCTCGAAGTGCAAGTGCAGCGCTTGATTGGAAAATACTGTGAATTTCCAATTCAGAATTAAGATATTTGAGTGTACATCATTTCAAAAAGGAGATTTTATTAATACCAGAACATACGTTGTTCTACAAAGGTGTCTTTCCCTTTAAATCTTATTAGACACTTCTATGACACATTGGCCCATTCTTTGATAGAAAGATAGCGTAATTTAATGTGATCAAAATGAATATTAAAATTTAGCATGACCATATTTTTTAGTCAAATGTTGGATGTTTCCATGGTCATTTAAAAAGATATATATATCATATATAGAAAGAGGATTATAGTGGCACATGAACTTCAGTAACAAGTCTTGATCTTCCATGACCTCAATAAAAACATTACATTTAATAATATGTTGATTATTATAATTATCCTTATAAGGGTAGAAATATTTTTACTAACCTATATGCCATACAATCTGCATTGTTTAATAATACCCTGTGAAGAATGCAGAAGCAGAAGTGAGATATTTATTTTTTCTATTTACATTTCAACTGAGAAATTGAGATGATTATTTGGAGAGGCCCCCTAATTTTATCTGTCTCAAAAAAGTCTTAGTAGATAGATGAGACTAAGAGAGAATGATTGATCCAAATTTAGTCACAGAGCTGTATGCCCAATGAGATTGAAACCTATGACTCCTCCAACCTAATTGCAATGTACTAACAGTAGCTCTGGGGTAAATAGATTCTATTAATAGATTTTATGTTTTAATTTTTTATTTAATATTTCATTTCCCCCCTATCCTTGACAAGGTAACTATCATGTGTCAACTCTGCAAATGAGCATGGCTACAGTAATTTTCCTTCTCATTCTAGGTTGCCACATAGAACGGAGGGAGAAGGGTTGCCCAGGTGCTTTGTTAGTCAAAATAATCTTTTGTTCCATGGGAACCAAGGTCATCGGCTGTTCCCAAGACTAGGAACAAAGTGTTGCATAAAAAGCCCGCCAAATAATCATATTGGGGAACATAGTTGCTTGCACAGTTTTATGGGTAGGACGTTTAAATTTGTATTGGAAAATTCTTACTTGTGTATCCTGATTTGATTTCACTCTTGACTTTGTAACTAATAAACAAGTTCTTTGAGGAATTTGCAATTAATTGTCTTTGCAAAACAACAACACACACACACTCTTTCTCTCTCTTAAAATAGTACACTTGTCTTCTATAAAAATACAATATCAGTCATAATAATGTTAAATATTCAAGTTTTAAAACTGATAAGTAAGAAACTCAACCTGGCATGTTACTTACTCTGTAATGATCCATTAAAACAGCCAACCAAGGTTTTATTGTCTTCATTACATCTTCAAGCAAATATTCCTCAACCACAGAACCATCATGGAAGGTCAAATTTCCAACGTGAATAGATTTTCTTATGTTTGGTAGTGATAATAGCTTTCCAAAATATTCCTGATCTTCAGGTTCCTGTTATTAAAATAATAAAGAGAAAGAACACATATAAAATTATTTCATCAAAGCAAATTCATGCAACTACATTTTTGATGATTCTGCTTTTCTTCTTATAGCAGCCAAGTGTACTTATCACTGTGTTTGTGAGAACTGAAACAATTGACCTTGCAGGTTCATGTTCAAGTTTGAAATGATGAAACAATTTAGTATTCGCCACTATTGCAAACAATTTAGTATGTTCATATCAATTAATTTTATAAGAAGAAAAAAGCCATCAGTTTGTAAAAAGATATGGTATTGAGTAATAAAAATGCAAGTTATTTGTTTTTCATTGATTAATGTAAATACACTAAATTAATTCTGATGCTGAAAAATACTTCACTAGTTGCTCTTTTAAATAAGAGAAAAAAAGTCTGCTGGACCAGATCTAACAGCCCAACTCATTGAGCATGCTGGCAACAGGATTTTTATACCATTTGCCCTCAATATCTTTTACAAAGCTTTACAATATGAAAAAAAATCTATGTAGACAACCTAGCCAATAGGTTTGACCACAAGTCTGGAAGAAAATAAATTCTTTCTTCCTTAAGAAGAATGCACTTCTGCAGAGCAAAACAGACAGAATGAATTAGGATGCTGATGAAGAGAAAGATATCTATGTTACTGTAGCTATAACATTGTCTTCATTGACTTCTTGACCTAGTAAAACACATATCTGGCTGTGAGGTCTTAAGCACCAAGCTCTTCACAATTCATCCCTGAGTTACAAATATTCTCTTCTATTGGTACTACAATTCTGGCCTTAAGAAAAAGAAGGAATCTTTCATGCAAGCCTTCAAAGACAGAACAAAGTAAATCTGTCTTATTCATCTAATCTAATTTTTGCAGAATGTCATCATGTCACTATCATTCTTTAAATGTGTACACATAAAGTGCATTCAGAAAGTATTCAGACCCCCTTCACTTTTGTCAATTTTGTTATGCTGCAGCCTGATTCTATAGTTGTTGAAATTCATTTTTTTCTTATTAATCTACATTCATAATGACAAAGAGAAAACAGAACCATGCTTCACTATTGGGATGATGCTGGGCAGGTGATGAGGGGTGCCTGGTTTCCTCCAGACACTTCAATTTAGAATTGAGCCCAAACCGTTTAATTTTGGTTTCATCAGACCAGAGAATCTTGTTCCTCAGAGTCTGAGAGTCCTTCAGGGGCTTTTTTGCAAAATCCAAGTGAGCTTTCATGTGTTTTGCACCGAGGAGAGGCTTCAATGTAGCCACTCTTTCATAAAGCCCAGATCAGTGGAGGGCTGCAGTAATAGTTGTCCTTCTGTAACTCTGTCCCATCTCCACAAAGATCTCTGGAGCTTAGAGTGACCATTGGGTTCTTGGTCACCTCTCTTACTAAGGCCCTTCTCCCTCGATTGCTCAGTTTGACCAGGCGACCAGCTCTTGGAAGAGTCCTGGTTGTGCCAACTTCTTTCATTTGAGAGTTATGGAAACCACTGTGCTCTTAGGAACCTTCAGTGCAGCAGAAAGTTTACTGTAGCCTTTCCCAGATCTGTTTCTTGCAATAATCCTGTCTCTGAGCTCTGCAGGCAGTTCCTTTGACTTGATGGCTTTTGCTCTGCTACAGTATGCATTGTCAGCTGTGAGGCCTTCTGTAGAGAGGTTTGTGTCTTTCCAAATCATGTCCAATTAATTTAATTTACCACAGGTGGACTCCAGTCAAGGTCTAGAAACATATCAGCAACAATCAAGAGAAACAGGAGGCACCTGAACTAAATTTCAAGTGTTGTTGCAAAGGGTCTGAATAATTGTAGAATCAGGCTGCAACATTACAAAATTAACAAAGTGAAGGGGGTCTGAATACTTTCTGAAGGCACTGCATATTTTCAATATGTCTGCCTTTTCTCATGAGTACTTACTTGGCACTGCATGAAATTGAAATAGTTGCTACATCCTGAAACAGTCTGAATATAAGAAGGAGTTCCAGTTTTATCACTATTCAATAGAATATCAAATACCTGAGGAAGAAAATCATATAAGTTCAACATGTTTATTTTCATTGTTGAGTATGTCAACTGTTTACTTTTCCACAGCTAGTAAAGAAAAGTTGGTAAAATATAATTGCACTAAAAAATACTAAAAGGAAGAGCCCTCCTTGCATCAAGATCCATCTGAATACCATATTTCAAATCATAAAAGAAAAATGTCCCAATCAAATGTCACCAAAATAAGTTGAGAGGAAATGTCATTTTGTTCCTTGGAAAAAGTATGGGCTGGATGAGCTGGGCCACTCAGTCTGACCCAGCAAAAAAATTTCCTTTCCTTATTTAAAATAGCAGCTACTGCAGTTAATATTTCATAGATTAAACTTGCTTGGCATGATATCAGCAAAAATTAGTGTAACAGAAAATTTTAAAATAAAGGTTTTTTTGCTCTCTTCTTTTTAAAAATGATTTTGTAAAATATGGTTGATTCATTAAATTGCTGGAATGCAAGACGCTAAAAAGTGACTCATGCCAGTTAATTGTGCATGGTAACCACTTCATTTTTTTTTCAACTGACTGAAAAAAATTAGAATACTTATTTATGGATATAAAAGGTATGATAAATATATCCAAGCATCTTCACAACGTCCAAGATTACTTTTCTTCCAGTTTCTATAGGTAAGAAAAAGCTTTAGGACATTTAGGAATCAACATTAAGAAATTAAAGCAATCCACAAAAGAGATGCCTATGTAAACACACACTCAAGTACTCAAGTTTGAAGGGAGTCCAATGTAAACTTTAGGGAAACATTGGAAAATGACTTCTCTCCCTTTTAGGTTGTTGGGTTTTTTTGCTGGTGCTGCAATCAAGTTTGTGACCTCCATATGATTTCCTTCTGACCCTTACTGTGATCAGATGCTTTTAATTGCTGAAGGTCATCATGTGAGCCTCTATGACTTACTTCAAAGGCTTCTTTCCATTTCTTCTGCTGGATGTATTGTTGTCCCAGATTAGACTGATTCTGGACATATATCTTCTGGTTCTCATCTACCAAGCCAATTTGATATAAGAATTCTGCATAGCCTCCCAGCATCTGATCAGGAAAATGAACTATATTAATCACGAATGTTTTCATTTTAAAAAGTCATTAAAAAGATTGAAAAGAACATTACAAAAGTAATACACTAGAACAAGCTAATGCTATACACTGACACTGTAATAAAATTTCAATGGCTTTTAAGCAGCCATCTTGCTAGGGTTGCATCTAATTTGCAATCATATATTTAAGGTTAAAAGCATTTGCACTGGCTGGATATCAATCAGGATAATGTTCTTTTGGGGCCTGCAATTTCAGAATATAAAAAATATAGAAATCATACCACTTCAGGGTCACAAAGACCGTCCCCAATGGCAACACCTTTGAAGTTGATCTTTATCTTTGCTGTAGGATTATTGCTATGAATATAATATCCAATGGCTGGCACATATTTTCCTGCATAAGACTAAAGATAATACATTGGTTGACTCATTAATATATAGGGGGTTATTTATACATTATCCAACTTTGATTAGAGTTTCTTATATCGTGTCTAAAGCAGTAGGCTGATACTCTTACTTAATCCCAATCAAGAGCTTCAGATGTGTGCAAATTTTAATATTCAGGCAATATTGCAACATCACATTAGGGAAGACTGTTACATTTGCTTACCACAGTGTCTTAAGAGTTCACATGTTTCTTTGGAAATAAAAACAGAAAACGATAATGTTCTGAGTTAAGTAATCAGTTTATGTCTTCTTAGTCAATTGGCATCAACAGAAGTCATTAAATAAATAAACATTTGCTTAAATAAAAAACAGAAACAGAAATTCTATTTATTGATTTGATTTGATTTGATTCACACCAAGCCATTATTTGTAGAGCTCAAAGGAGCATAGAGAATGCTCCCTTCTCCTATTCTCCCTATTTGAGAAAAAGCAAAAGACTGAGCCAGATTATCCAACCAGTTTGATACATAAAGGACTAGAATTCATAGTTTCCCAGTTTCTAGCCCAGCATCTTAACAATTAACCAACTAGTATTTTGTTTCACAAACACTGTTTGCATCATGTCTGCAAAATGGGTGAGAAAACATGTATATAATTGAACTATTTAGTAGTCATTTGAAGCAACTTTTAATCTTTTAGAAATGAAAACAACAGGATTTTTTATCATTAAAGGCAAAAGGCATAAAATAAATTCATGTTATTTACATGTCCATCCTCTTTTAGTGTTGCTGTTGGCAAAATTTAATTTAAAAAAAACCCTTCCAAGACAAAATCTGTATAGTCAGAGAAACAAATACCCAGTGAAAACAGTATCTCTTGACTATAAAACATCACTTGTGTTAGCAATTACTAGCAACATTAAACTGCTGAAAAAATGTATTGTTAGAGCTATTATATCCAATATATATTGGGTATAATATATTGCTCCAAATGTTATCTCAGATGTGGGAAAGTTTTCTTTAAAAGATAAATATTAGTAGAGCTATTTACAGTACCAAAAAAAAATTATATTTCTCTGGTGAATAGATAATCAAATGCAAGAACTACTGGAAAAAGCTGGTAAAACAACATAGTTGCAAAATTGAATTTAAATTATTTATGTTTTAAGATCAATGCTACAAGTTAAATTCAGAGGTCAAAATTAACCTCGGTGAAAAATCTGGAAAAGAAAGAAAGAAAATAACTTTGTTTTCAACCCTTGGTTTGTAAAACAAGAAATAGGACTACTTACAATTCCCTTGCTTGATGTTTTTTATGGAGCTACCTGTATTATTTTACAAAGTTTAAATGTGACTTCCTGTGTGTTCACATGCATATATGCTCCACAGCTTGCATTGTTAACAATAAGGGTAACTGAAAAAATTACTGCCTTTCTTTTATTTGTTCTGAGCGTGGTGGCGTGGTTAGAATGCAATATTGCAGGCTAATTCTGCTGACTGCCAACTGTCAGCAATTCGGCAATTCGAATCTCATCAACTCAAGGTTGACTCAGCCTTCCATCCTTCAAGGTCAGTAACATGAGGACCCAGATTGTTGACAGAAAATATGCTGACTCTGTAAATCGCTTAAAGAGGGCTGTAAAGCACTGTGAAGCGGTATGTAAGTCTAGGTGCTATTTACCTTTCTTGTAGCAGAATTGATTATCCTCCCAAAAAGTACTCTTAGGTGGTTTCAATGAAACTTCCAATATTAAATAACTTTGATCGGAACTGATAAATCAGTGCCATTCAATAAAAGAGAGTTTAATTATTTTGCTATGTAAGTACAATTCATTATATAGCCTTTATTAATTCTGCTTGCATGATTGCATAATAATATCACATTTTCAATTAGAACAGAAGACTTTGAAAATTTTGTTGAGTGATCAAATTCTCTGCCTAGAACTCTTGCTGGTTACTGCCTATCAACAATTCTATTAATTAATAGAAGTTTTATTTCTTCTTTAACATTTATACAGACATTTAACATACAATAGAACAGGGGTGTCAAACTCGCAACGTCACGTGATGTGTCGCGACATATCACGACTTTTTTTTCCATTGCTGGCAATGGGGTGGATGCGGTTTTGGCATGACGCATCCGGCCCGTGGGCCGGCAGTTTGACACTCCTACAATAGAATATGGTTTGTAAGTAAAATAGAAATTTACACTCTCAAATTGACAAACGTTTAAGCAAACTTACTTCTCCTGTTGCATAGAAGTCATTTTTCTGATAATGAGGAAAAAGCTGGAAAAACTGAATAATCGCACTGAAATGCATATATAGTATCAGTTAATACACACACTGAGAAATGTAGTAGAAACTCAGAGCTCATTTTAATGTGAAGTCTCATTTATTTAATCAATGGCTGCACCTTTAAAAATACAATCTGACATCTATCTCTGACCGTATGAACTATTACAACCATTGGTTTAGGGACTGTTCAAATTAATAACAGCACTGAAAAAAGTGACTTGGAATTACTCCAGACATTTATGATCACTGCAATATCCCCATGGTCATGTCAAAATTTGGGCATTTGGCATCCATCACATATTTACAATGGTTACAGCATCCTCAGGTCATGTAATCACCATCTGTGACCTTCCCAGCCAGCTTTCGACAGCAAAGTCAATGGAGGAAGCCAGATTTGCTTAATGACTACATGGTTCACTTAACATCTGCACTGGTTCACTTTACAGCTATGATGAAAAGTTGGGCATGACTCACTTAACAACCACCCATTCTTAGAAATCGATATTCTGGTCCTACTTTTTGTCATAAGTGAAGATTACCTGTAAATATTAGAGTTACGCAACTCATTCAAAGAGATCCTTCACAATGTGTTAGCATGAGCAAAGCACCATTTCTTGAAGTAGTAAAGCTAGCCATATCCTATGGAAGTATTGAATGACTGCTTTGAAAGCTGTCCTGGGCTATCTATATGTTTTTAACAGTGGGATAATCCATGCACAGATGCACACATGCATATATGGACAAGCAGGGATACATGGATGCCTGGAAGCAGTGAAGAAGCTGCTTTAATACTTTAAGGATTGCTGCAAATGCTTTGCACAGCTCTAGTAAATTTTCTAAATCTTTACAAAAAGTTGAGTAGGGCTTACTTTTATGAAAAAAGGAAACATTCAGCTTTAATTTACCTATACAAATCTCTTCCTACATCATCTTCATTCTTCGCATATCCTTTCGGATCATCGGTAAAACTGAAGCCAGTTCCAACCTGATAGTTAAAGAGAACCAGGACATTGAGGAACAAAGAATTTTAGTTTGTTGCTGATGTTTTTCACATCAAATAAAATTTAATTAACTATATAGTTTCACCTACAGCAATGTTAAATTTTAATCTGGTTTTGCACTTAGTCTATGTTCATGTCTATTCAGAAGTCAATTTCATCAATTTCATCAATTTCATCAAGACTAATGGGCAAATTTCTAAGCTAGTAAATTGTCTGGATATTTGTTTATTTTTTACTATATTGTAAACTGCTCAGAGTTGCCTTGAAGTGTGAGATAGAATGAAAATAAATTTAAGGATAAGAGTAGGAGTGGAAGGAAGGAAGGAGGAGGAGGAGGAGGAGGAGGAGGTGGTGGTGGTGGTGGTGGTGGAGGAGGAAGAGGAGGAGGAGGAGGAGGAGATAATTTCAGATTAGAAAATCTGGATTCCCAACTTTCTCGTTTTTTTTCAGGCATAACTTATGTGAGTCTTTTTTCTTATGTAGTAGTAATAAACTTTTAGTTGTTGATCAGAGTGTTGATAGCTGGCTATTAAGTCGGCTGTTGTTTCCTTTGCTGCCAAGTCTTTGGCTCCTAAGTACCTGATAAGCTGTTGGTAAATCAGCACTATTGTTGCTGACAGAAACACTAGTCTAAGGGTACTGTAATTTGGGATGCCTACCAATACCATGAGGCTATTCCTACTATAAAGAACTGATGTTCAAGTTTATATTTTAAATAGAACATTATTTATTCTTAACTTACTGGATTGTCAATATACAGCATGGAGAACTTAGAGGTCCAAGGAAACTTTCGTTCAGTCACTATTAAAGCAAGCAAACCAAAATAAGTTTTCAGCTATCATCAATATACCAAATTGTGGAAATCTGAGGTGAATTCGGCATACCAAAATACATTTTGGATATGTCACACACACCGTCCCAAAATAAAACTGCAATGTGTGAATAATATAATTCCAAGTATTATAGGATCTGGGCTTTAGACCCCGATCCAATGCTTTTATCAATGATGCTAACATAAAATAACTTATGATCAATTGTTTGATACGTTAGCCTAAGTTAACATTTCTAATCTAATCTATATTGTCCTTGCGATTATTGGATATATGGAAAATGCACTGCAGGTAGTCCTCAAATAACTGGCCTGGGGACCAATGCAAATATGGCATTCTGGAGGTGAATGATGGATAATGGATTAGAAAACACCCCACCTCCTCTTTGTGTGCACATTGCTCCCTTCTTCCCCATTTTAGTTAATTTGATTTTAACTTAATTTTAAAGATCTCTATTATAGTTTCGACATTTTATATGCCATTTTTACTAAATGATTGTAAGCTGCCTAGAGCCGCTTATATGGGCAGCATATAAGTTTAATAAATAAATGAAATAAAGTTAAGACCATAATTGAGCCTGCAATTTTGGTTACAAGTCAGGACAGTTGTAAAATGGATTACCATGCGGTGGACCTGATTATACAATCATTTTTGGAGCAGTCATTAAGCAAACACAGTGGTTATATAAACCAAACCAATTGTTTGCTTTGGGGCGTGATTTGCTGAAAACTGGAAGAAAACACAGGCTTCTGACAAAAAAAATATCATCAATCATGGTCATGTGGCTACAGAATTCTGCAAATGGCCATAAATCTGGGCTGTTTGCCAAACATCCAAAATGTGGTCATGTGACTATATGGTGAGGTTTGGATGTTGGAACTATGAAACAAGGTTATAAGTCCCATTTTCAGGGTTTGTTGTAACTTCAAACAAAAGACTGTCACAAGTCAAGGACTACCCATATTGGATCAGTTTTCACTACTAATTCTATTTTAGTTCATGTTAGTAAATTAACTAACTTTCAAGTTATTTTTATTTCAGAATGATGTAACATGTCAAGAATAACATTTAATTTCAATTAGTCTGTATTTATACAATATCTTCAACTATGTATTAATACCACAATCCATGCATCTAGGATTTTAAATATAATTTTGCTGTATTTTACTTCGTGGGGCTCTTTATTTCTTGCCACTAAAAAACAGAGACCTAGTAATATCTAGTGAATATATAGGAAGCATTTGTGCTTATAAATTTAAAAGATATTATTTTTAAACTGACAAGTTTTGTAAAGAGAGTTTTAGCCATATTTCATCTCAAACATAAGTACTAACTTTGCATCCATTTCCTTACTTACACTTGTTCAGAATAGGAAATCTATATTTTGCTATTAAATATATTTCACTCAAAAATAGAATTACAAATAAAATTTGGTAAAAAATGGTAAAAAATGAATATTCAAAAGTAAAAATATGTGCTTATATTCCCATATACTACACTAGAAACAAATCAAATACTTGCAAGAGAGATTCTTCTGAACAACATATGGTCCATGTTCAACAAAGAGGCCAAACATAGATGTTCCTCCAGGTCCCCCTTGGAGCCAAAGTAGAACAGGAGTCTTTTCTGGCTGAACCTGAAACCATACGAACAAAAAAACCTGGAATTATTCTTGAAATACTGCATTTATTTTAACAGATTGTAAAAAAACTGTCACAGTTTTATTTTACTTTATTTGGTTTTCCATATGGTTGTTATCAAACTGAATGTGAGGGTTTTGGGCTACCATTCTGAAATAAATATGTACTAGACTTTTCAATACCTAGTTTTAAATCAACTATCTCAAACACCATGTTGAGACAGAAATAAATTCCCATCCAATTCCCATCCAGGTGTCCAAGTGAGCCACTCAGTTCTATTGAACTGCTGCGCTATCATCCCCTCCACCACAAAGAGCCTGCAAGAGAAAGGTAGTATGGACAACCGTGGGATCTGGCAGGGTGAGACCTGTGAGCCACCAACACAAAGCTTTCACTGTGTCCCTGCACAACAGATACAGTGCCCTTGCTGACCTTAATAGAGATACTAAGGTGGCAGGTCAAGGTAGTTGTGATGATAATAGCTCAAATGAGCAGGGGATTGTGGTCCAAGACGAAGAACTTGTTTTGGATAGGAGAAAGTGTGTATTAGGTATTACACATCAGTCATGCAAGAAGAGCAAGGTATCCAAAAAGAGAAGCCACCTTCTGGTTGCTGATTCAATTATAAGAGATGTAAATTTAGGAAAGAATACAGAGGTCTCGAAAGAGATTAGGTGTCTTCCAGGTGCTACTGCCAGCAGGGACAAGAAGCGTATTTTTAAGATAGTCAAGAATGTCAGCAAGGACTGTGAGGTTGATGCTACTGTACATCTTGATACGAACGATCTGTCCCAAAGATATATTCTCTGTGCAAAATGATTTCCAGAGGTTGGGGCAGGAACTTATCAGGATAGGCTGTATTCTTACTTCTTTAGAGGTTTTACCAGTGTATAAGGAACAAAATGGAAAAGGCCAGCGTATAGCACAATTCAATATGTGGCTAAAGGAGTGGAGTAAAGGGGAAGGCTTTGGATATATTAGTCACGATGTCAGCAGCTGGTCCAATGAAAAAATGTACAAAAGAGATGGTTTGCATCCATCAAAGAAAGGGATTGATTTACTCGGCTATAAATTCACAAATTTTCTGGAGGAATATTTAAACTAAACAGCGGGGACAGTGAGCTAATTGGTACAGAACATCCCTGTCCTCGCCAATCTAAAAATTATAGGGCTATCAGTGCATGTAACATAGATGTGTGTGTGGACAAGAACATCAGGCTTGCTGTCAAGCAAAATCAAGCTTTTAATAGTGAGTGCCACACAAAGTGCACTAACCAAAGAGGTGGTAAGACAATAAAGAAATAGGCATCACACACGTTATGTAGGAAGTAAACACAGGGACAGTCATAAAGGACTCAAATGTCTATACACTAATGCGCAGAGTATGAACAGCAAACCAGGTAAACTAGAAATTCAGGTTAATGAGGGCAGATATGATATTGTTGCCATTACGGAAACATGGTGGGATGAAACCCACAAATGGAACACACAGCTAGAGGGATTTAAATTATTTAAAAGAAACAGACCAAATAAAAGAGGAGGTGGAGTTGCTCTCTATATAAGAAATAATTACATCTCTACAGAAATAGAGCACAGCAATGATGAAAACTGTCTTGAATGCATTTGGGTTAATATAAAAGGGGGGGAAATGACATTGCCATAGGTGTATACTATAGGCCACCCAACCAAACAGAGGAAATAGATGAACTTTTTGCTAGTCAGCTAACTAAGGTATGTAGGAAGCACATCACAATAGTAATGGGGGACTTTAACTACCCTGATATCAACTGGGAGACACCAGTTGAGGCACCAAGTGGAAGATCAAACAGATTCCTGACAAACCTTGCAGACAACTTTGTCTCCCAAAAAGTAGAGAAGGGAACTAGGGGATTAGCCATTTTGGATCTAGTTCTCACTAACAGAGATGAAATGATAGAAGGTGTTGAAGCCATAGGAACCTTGGTAGGAAGTGATCATGCAATATTGGAATTCAACATTATGGCAGCACAAGCAATAGAACACAGTCAAACTAGAGTCTTGGACTTCAAGAGAGCTAATTTCAATAAACTTTGAAAGGGTTTGAGAAGGATTCCATGGATGAGAATCCTCCAGGGGAAAACAACTCAAGAAGCTTGGGAAATTTTGAAAAGTGAGATAATAAAAGCCCAGTCTAGCACAATACCAACAAAGAGGAAAAATAACAGCTCTCAAAAGAAACCAGCATGGCTGCATAAAAAACTGATAAATTGAAAGATAAAAAGGACAAGTATAGAAAGTGGAAAGAGGGACACATAGCTAAGTCAGAATATCAGCAAATAGCCCGAGCCTGCAAAGATGAAGTGAGGAAAGCTAAGGCTCAAAATGAACTAAGGCTTGCGACCAAAGTCAAAAATAACAAAAAAGCTTCTTTCAACATGTAAAAAATAAGAAAAAAGTGAAGGAAACGATTGGTCCATTAGTGGGTGAAAGTGGCAAGAAGGTGACAAGCAACAGGGAGAAAGCAGAGTTATTTAACTCATTTTTTGCATCTGTCTTTACAGAAAGGGAAAAAACAGACCAACCTACCAAAAATAGTGCCATAAAAAACAGAATAGAAACGCAAGTTAAGATAGGCAAGAAAATGCAACTGTTACAAAAAAAAGGACTTTGCAAAAGTTCTGTTTCCTTGAATGAATATAAAGAAAAGTTCTTGTTATCTTCTTAACAATTGATCCAGTCACTAATTGTGATAAAGGAAACAACTTCTTATCAAATGTTTATGTATGCTTATGTCCAGAGGCAGAAATACCTCAATACAATGCTCTGTCTGTGTCAATTCTTCTTTTATAAAATTCCCAATGGAAAAAGTTAGTCTATATTTATCTACTTTTAGGTAGGCTGTAAATCCTGCTTTGTTTAGACTAGTCTTTGATGGGTTTTGAGGTAGTATCCTACTCTCTAAATGTTTCAACATGAATTGCCCTGTTCTTAATTTGATTGTTTTGATAAGGGAATGTTTTCACAGCTGCACAAAGCGAGAAGGAACCTTTTGGGCAGAAGGGAGATTTATAAATATTTAAAAAAATCAAACACCTGCACAGTCTTTAGCTGTTTATATTCAGAGAAAACAAAGTAGGCAGATTTTATAGTGAGAGAAAAGGAACAGAAAACTATAAATTGATGTTCCTAAATAATATGACCAGGTGGAACAGAACTTGATTATCTGCACGAAATTGTAGACTAACAAAATTTTCTCACAGGTAAATTAGCATAATAGAATGCAGTGTAACTCCAAAACAATGTCTCCTCCAGAATTTCTATGTGCTGCAGTCTGAAGATAAAAATAATAAAACCCTAAGCAATTTCAGGGGTACTTATTTCATTATTCTTTTTTCATGGGCATGTGAGTAAGTTCTGGGGAAAAGCATTCAAATTCTCCTCTAAATAAAACATTATTACTGCCAATCCTTTTTTTCTTTTCTCATATCCATTATATCAGATGGACTATAAATGGAATAAACTCAGGAATATTGCCACCATCATCATACCACCTGAGATTACAACTGCATTGTTAACAAAACAATGCATGTTTTAACTTTAACTTGTACTGGTATTCTTGTTCAAAATTATATTTTTACATATCCCGAGGAGACTTAAAATTTGCAACATGCTAATATGCCTTTAAGAAATGTAAATCAAAGGACTTACTGGCGTAAGCTCACAGTAATTCATGCCCTTTGCAAATAGTCCTCAATGGCTCGGTTCACACATGGTATCAAAGTATATGATGGCTTATTTGATTATGACTTAGCAATCTATGTGAACCTCAGCTACCATGGTTTTTTAATCATGGCTTATAAGTTAGCACAATAATCAGATATTTGCAGTATTTATTATTTGTATCTTTGAATATATACATATCTCTCACTACCATTTTTGGTTTCAAACATCCATAATTAAACAACAGATTGTCATTATGCATCTAATCAGTAAACAATTTCAAAATATTTTATCGCAGCTTTCCAATATACATGGGGGGAGGGGAGCTCAATCACATTATTCTTTCAGATAAATAATAATAAAATAAATCTGAGATCGTCTTTTAAATTATCTCAATGTTACATTCAAGTTTTATTTTGTCTAAGCATCATGAGTACATGCATGTATCAAACTAATTGAATGTGCTTTACTTTCCCAGCCTTTAACATATTAACATTATGTTATTGACTGTAGAAGCCCAGGACTTTGTTCTGATATAAATCTATTCATAGCATAATAGAGCTACAGTAATAAAGAGATAATCATTTATCCAAAAATGATAACAAAAGAATAATTTGTCTAAAAATGATAAATGATGATATAGTGTTTCTTTTTAGCACTTCTATGGGCTTAAGGTTCCTTTAAATATCAGAGGTACCCCACATCATATACAGCAACTGCCTTTTGAACGAATACCTTTCTAATCTTATCTTCTAGTTTCAAAAGATGAAAAATATATTGTACCCACCTGAGCAGGAAAGAACCAAAAGAAAAGGTTGCTATTGTGAGTTTTGTTGACTGTCAGATAGCCTGAATAACTCTTCACATGGGGACCTGGGAGATGTTCCACTAGGCTTAATTGCCTTCCTTTGAAAGAATGATAAATCACTGTCATTGTCTAAACTTCGAAAGATTGGCCAAGAATGCAAGAATATATACGATATATACGATATATCTGACTTGTGCATACAAAGTTTAACATTTTTAGCCCTCCAATCATTCTAATGCATGGTTGTTTGGCTTCTCTGGATCACACTGAGTGAAGGAGAATCGTCTTGGGCCACTACATATAATGTAGTTAATGTATATAAATAACAAGCTTCCTTTATCTTTTTACATGTTTTTATTATTTTGTGGAGCCACATAAGCTTGCAGGATATGCGTTGGACACGACTACTTAATGTTTTCACAGAAAAAATTAATTAATTAAAAATAAATAAATAAATAAAATAAATAAGTAAATATTTTATTTTTTATTATTATTTAATGTTTGTACCACTTTTTTAAATTTTAAATTAAGGAGCAACAGTGAAAAACATATTGTACTCTGCTTCATTTAAGTATTACGATCTGGGTTGTTTATAAATACACTTTCTCTTGCTGTAATGGTGAATTTCAAAAAAATGCTTGTTTAGGTCCCAAGAAAGACAAAATAAATGAAAAAGCCCACTTCTGGTAATTTGCTGATAAGTATAGTGGCTTAGATTGATATGACAAGAGTAAGAAAGTTTACATCCTCCATGGGAAGTCACAATTATACCAATGCTGGCTTTGCATTTTTAATTTAAAGCTTTAAAATGAGAAAATTTCACTTAAAAGTTGGAACAATAGTACGTTTGCACCAGTCCCCCCCCCCACTAAAGAGAAGTGATAAAGAATTCCAATTCTTCTGATTTCCTAAAAAACAGTAGCATAGCTTGAAATACAATACATTCAAAAGTTTTTGTTTTCTTCAACTTGTACCTAGATATCCAGACTGTAACATGACCTGTGGCAAATGTTAAAAAAAACAACTGGAAATCTGTCTGCATTTTTACTCTATGGACCTGGGTGGTCTACAATCCAAACAACGATAGAAAGAGAATAAATGTAAGATACATTCCTCCAATTCAACTACATTTATATAAAATTCCAGTCAAACATATTGCAAAGTTTAAAATATATTCTAAACTCTTACTATTGTAACCACTGGATTTTAACAGGGATAAGTATAAACAAACAAACAAACATATAGCAATAGAAAAGATATAGTTTTATGCAGGCACAAGTGGGAACAGCTCCTACAAAAGGATGGAACTTGCAAAAGACACAGCTGCTTGAACAATCCAATAAAAAATGCATTTTACAAAACTTCTCTTGGGAATCCTTTGCAGTCTTAGATTCATTATGTGCAGATACTGCAAAAAAGCTGGAGACATTGGAAATATTATCTTTCTGCATGATTTAAGTTTTAAAAATGTCATGTTTATAAACCAATTTTACCTTCTTCAATTTTACCACTTTCAATGTAAGGTGTTAGAAACAGTGGTTGTCCAGGATCTCCTTGTGATGGTAAAGCATGTTTTAGTCTCCTAAAAATACTTCCCATGGCATTCCGTCGTACATGGCAGCTGCTTAATTCTAAGAAGAAACTCAGGCTTAGCAAACCCAGTAAAGCCGTTGTTATCTTGCACATCTTTTCACTTGGTTACCTTGAAAGAAATCATATAAAGCACTAATTAAAAATGAAAATTGGCTATAGTAGTTTTGTCAAAACAATCCAGATCCCAATCATGCCAAAAATATTCCAACAGGTTGGTGTCAAGGTTCTGACTAATGAAACTAAATAAAGCAGAACTCCAAGGTTTGAAACACATGTTTATTGGATACATAATATCGGCATGGCCAAAAGTGAAACCAACTCTAAATTTTTCCCTAGAGATTAAATGTAACTAAATGTAACATTACCTTCCCCTCTATTATGCTATAAATCATGCTACCCAATGAAAGTAATTGGTGGGGACTTCCGGTTTTGTGCCATAGCTCATGGCTGAGGAATTGCAGAGCTTCGTACCCCACGGCTAGTTTCACCCTGGGTCTAAAGTCTCCCTGGAGAGGCAACGAAGAAAGAGGAGCACCCCGATGATTACCGAACGATGGTGGATCCAGGGGAAATTCTCTAACCCGACAGGAGAAAGGCTGGCCACACCTTGATGACCAGCCCAAGCTACTTCGGGCCGAAGTCCAAAGGCACCAACCAGAACAATGGTGAACAGCGTGCTTAAAACTGGGTGAGGAATTCAATCTTCTCTCTCTGATTTCTGGAAAAAATCCCCAAGAAGCAAAATTCTCCCAAAGTGAGAAGGGAAGGAACTATACCCCCACCGTCCCATAGACAGAAGCAGCAAATTAAACTCTTATGGGGAACAAAAATATATTGAAATGAGGCTAAAAATACTACAGTCTGGACAAATTTGAAAACTAAGAAAACTGTTAAAATTCCATACCTGAAAAAGTATTGATGAAATAATAATAATAATAATAATAATAATAATAATAATAATAATAATAATAACAACAACAACAACAACAACAACAACAATAATAACAACAACAACAACTCTTTGTTTTAAAAGTTGAAAAATGAACAGCTACTGACACCTAGTGGAGGACTAGAGAAAACTATAGCTGCATTGACTCAGAATTTGGCAAGATGCACAGGAATAGCAAAAAACAGCTGGGAACAATGCATTGGGCTATCTAATACAGAGTGAAATTATATATGTTTAGAAACTGTTGACCTTCTGGGATTATAAACACACTGAGCTGCATTTTTAAGTTTAAGAAATATTTGCAGAAAAGAAAACCTTGGCCTTTGACTAATCTTTTAAAGGGGAAGTCACTGGAAAGCTTTCAGGTGGTTAAACACTTTGGACTGAAATTTTTGCTGGCTGACAATCCATAAGATCCCTGAAAAAAAGAACTGTTACAAAACACTGTTTTCAGTGGTGCTTTAATAATGGGAACGTATTAGATTACAAAAACTATATATAAAGATAAGAACTACACATGATTTGATTGTTTGGATTTTAAGATGGGCTGGTTTGATAAAGCTAATTAAAGAGAGTATGGAACTGGTGAAAGACTACCTAGAGAAGGGAGACAAAATGGATGTTGTATATTTACCTAAAAGTGACAGAAAACTATACCTATCCCTTCTTCCTGAAGATCCCAGCATGGAACATCAGAGATCTGCAAGAATAATGACTCAAGATAAAGCAATACATTCTAGGAGAAAATATATGCAATGCTGCGACAGATTGAAATGACAATTGTCTTAAATCATGATGAGATTAAAAACATCTTTGATAACATAAATGAACATATCTCTAACCTAAACACTCAATTAAATAACGCTCAAAAAAATGACAATAAAGAATGAACAAATAAATTATAATCAAATAGATAAGATGTGTAACCAGAATATCAGACTTTGGTATGAAAAGAGAAAAAGGGAGAAGTTGAGATAAGGAAAACTTTTGCTCAACTAAACATAAAATACTTGAAAATCATAAATAATAGTGTTACTTTGAATATTGATGGGAAATTAAAGCCTGGGGAGGGGGGGAAGCAATAACAGGACATTGATTGTATACAAGGATTAAGTGCAAACGCAATTAAGATATGTATAAGGTAAAAATTATTCATAACAGTAACAAAGATGTTTCTACTTAGTTGATAACAATAAGAATTGTATTAGCCCAATATGAGATAACAGGTGCTAATGGAAAAGGAGAGGAAATATTTGATGTTATAACAGGAGATTTATTCTAAAGATTGATGTACACTATTGAACTATTGATTAACCCAGTCCATCACGTTGCTTTTTAAATATTCAATTGTAAAATGAGAAAATCAATAAAATAATATTAAAAATGAACAAATCAGATAATAGAACACAAATCAGAGGAAAATGACTTAAATATGAAAGCTACAAATGAAGAGAACTACAACTTAATACAAACAAAAGAAAATCTGCAAAATTTTGCTACAACAAAGGAAATAAAAAAGAAGTTTTATCTTCCAGGACTTCAAAACAAATTTGAGGACAAAAAAGAAGATTTAATAAAATGGATTAAAGAGCTGTCAGGAGAATCATTAAAGTGTGGGAGACAAAAAATAAATATTCTACTCAATTTGTCTTTTTTTCCCCCAACAATATCTACAAAAATACAACCTGGCAAGCTAAATCTACTGATTTGGAAAGCAACCTGGCAAAACAAAATTAGAATTAGATTTAAGAGATGTGATTCAACATCCCAGATAGAATACTATATGATTAAACACCTGTTTGAATATGGTTAAAAAATATAAAGTTTGGATATAAAGAGGCCCTATAGTAAGATTGCTAGATGGTGTATTATATGATTAAATACTTGTTTGAACACGGTCAAAAGAATAGATAAAGCTTGGACAAAAAGGGGCCCTATAGTAAGTAGTATAATATTTTTATAATATATGAAATGTAAAAATATTGAGACAGTGTATTTGAATGAAAAGTTTGAATATTCAATGAAAATTATCAAACGTTATCTAGTCAAAAATAGTTCAAGGAACTATTGCAATTATATTATACCACAACACTTTGATTTGTCTCCCTATCCATTTCTGTGCCAAATTTAAATATAATGGCAGTACTGTGAAGCCTAAACAGGTTCAGCTTTTCTGTTCTCACTCCACATGCACAAGCATGTGCCCCATTCTGTAGATCAGGGGTACCCAACTCCCAGTCCATGGATCGGTACCAGTCCTCAGCATGCCACACAAACAAGCAAAGCTCCATCCTCAGGATGCAGGCAGTATTCAAAACCACACACCCTCTAGTGCAAGGAAAAACCCAAAAGGTTGGGGACCTCTGCTGTAGATCATTGTCAAGGCCTTGTTAGTAATTCCACAAAGTCATAAAAGGCATTTTTTTTCTCCAGAGAGCTTTCCTATGGTCTTGAATATCACTACTTTAAGATTCAATATTATATTTCAGCCCCTGCTGTCTGGTTTCAATTACGGATGCATTACTCAAGGGTATTGTTAAGGATGGTACAAAAGTGCTCTTCAGTAAATGCAATAAGACAGTATATTCTCTTGCCTTTGTATGAAACTCTTCAGAACTATTGTACTGACAGGAATTTTTTGGCTCCTGATATAGATCATCAACATATCTCAAACAAAACAAAACTCCCCAAAGAAAACATGATAAACAACACACTTCCAAGGAAATTACATAGCCATGTCTGCAATCTCTCTAGCAGTCAAACTCTAAGGAGACTTTATAGTTTAAATTATTCCAAGTTTTGAGTCCAGAGGTACTCATTAGAATATTCATTGAGGATGACTTTGAGTTTTATCATTCAAATAAGGGCTCAACTAGCTTGATCTTGTTGTTGTTAGTTGCGAAGTCGTATCCTTCCATACAAAAAAAAAGATTTAAGAAAACCATATTCTTAAATATAAATTTACATGAGAATGCTAGCTTTTATGTACTGTATAGAGATTTATGTTTGTAACTATATAAGTAACCAGTAATAAGCAGCATATGTGATATAAAAGATCAGGATAACATCTTGGCACGAAAATTAATCAACTAAGCAGCTTGAACAATTAGCTGAGATCACAGCAGCAATGAGCAAAATCATAAGGAAGGAGATGGGTACATCTTGTATGTTTGGGTTTAGTGAGTTCATGATCTAAGTCATGTAGTTGGTAAACCATAACTGAAGATGTTGTTTAGTATTAACCCAGTAATGTGAGGCTTATTTAATAAACCATGAGTAAGCAAACCATGATTACACAGAATGTATGAATTTAAATGTTAGTTCAATAAATGAGATATTATGTTCTCATTCTCATTCTCATATGTCTTATTTTGTTATTATTCAAAAATAAGGGAAGAGTTAGCTGCAATTGCAGGGCAACCTTGATAAACACTTGCTGAAGGGAACAGTGATACTCACTTAAAGATATTGTTTGTAATAAACATAAGGATAAGGGATTTAGATAGAAAATGATCTTTACATAGCATAGTATTACTTAACTCACGGGTGTCAAACTTGCCACGTCACGTGACATGTCGTGACGTATCGCGACTCTTTTTGCATTGCCGGCAATGGGGTGGGTGCAGCTTCGGTATGATGAAACTGGCCCTGGGACCGGCAGTTTGACACCCGACTTAACTAAAATTACAAAATGTGCATCATGATGTCATAATACAAGCTCCATACTTTCATATTTGCATTGCTATGTCAACACAAGCATATAACCATAGAGGTAAGCATCACAGCGCAGGTTTTGTCACGTGATACTCTTCCACCACCCCGACTATGACTTTGTGTCACTGACCCATCAGCTTTCCATTGAACCACCTGAACTTCTTTTGTCATATCTGGCAGATGAGTAAAAATAGTAATTTTAGGAATTATTTGATTCAATTTCAAGTACTGCCTAACTCCAACTGACACTGTTTTCCTCCTAGCAGTTTTTCTTAAGCATATCATTTATAATGTGTGTTTAAGGCTATGAATACTGCTCTACAAGCTTTTTTGGATGGAGATCAATATAAAATGAATGAATGCTATTAAATTTTAAATGAAAAGAATTCCCAAAAATTGATTATACTTAGTTAACATCATGCTTAATTCATCCTTACCTCAAGCCTCACTGTAATATGATTATATCAGTGTAGTTAACTGTGCTGAAGAAAGTTTAACTAAAGACCATATCTCATTATATTGATATCAGGAGATATCCAGCCTGCTGTGCTACACATGATCAGCTACCATTCTTTAGTGATAGAAATAAGACTTTGTCTGAAGTGAGAAATGCAACGACTTATTACTGATATATGTTAGGCATATGAAAGCTACTCACCTTTATAATTAGGTTTTTCCAAGATATTAATTGACAATAATATTTGTCTATTAATGGATTGGTTTTATTCTGGATTTTGTTTGGGTTCATAAGCTACTTATGTATTCAGTTTAAATAAAAATATTAGTATGATTAGTAATACTAATGGTTACCTGTGTTTGATGTGTCGTTAATGGGCTCAGAGGGAAGACTGAAACATTGCTGGTTTTAATTCTTTGTCAGCGAAGTTAAATATTTTAAGGAGCTATGCTTGCTATTAAAATCATTTAGAAATGAAAAGTACAAAATTGGATCTACAGTCATACTGGAGAGAAATGGCTTCTTAATCAGAAATGCTTTTAGACTTCTAGGTAATTCTACCCAGGAAACACAAATGAAACCAAGAAGGCCAAATTCAATCAACAGCTATTCCAAGTGTACAGTGTTGCCTTCTATTATACAAATAGAATAGAATAGAATAGAATAAAATAGAATAGAATAGAAGGGACCTTGGAAGTCTTCTAGTCCAGCCCCCTGCTCAAGCAGGAGAACCTATACTATTTCAGACAAGTGACTGTCTAGTCACTTCTTTAAAATCTCCAGTGATGGAACGCCCATAATTTCTGGAGGCAAGCTGTTCCACTGGTTAATTTCCACTGGTTGACTGGTTAACTTGTGATTTACCAGTACTACACATCAAAATAATGTACCTCTTCTCAGTTAAACAAATTTTAAAAGAGGATTTATCAAATTGATAGTCTTTGTCTTAAATTAAAATCATCTTAATGATTCTTTATTAAGGTGATTTTAATTTAATTAAGCTTTTATGTGAAAGGGTTAACGTCCTAAGGTCTTTTTGAAAATGTAACATAATTGTCAGAAGATGGTATTAAAAGTTATTTATGATTGCTTTCCATATTGTGCCACACACAACTAATCCAGGACCAAGAGTTCTCACTTCTCTGGTCCCAATAAGATATTATTCTTTTAGCCAATTACCAGATTTGAAAGAGTAAAAGCATACTTTTAAATAACACTGATCCTGTGAAAAAAAAATCTCCCCTGTGCTTTGTCATACATTCATGTGAAATGGTAAGCTTGTAAATTATTGCTTAAGTTGCATTAATTTACGAGGAACTATGACCATAAAAAATCAACAACAGTGTGTTGAGCAATTGTTGAGCAATTTTCCCGACTTCTTCAACAACCTTTTAGCCCGACTTACGGTGAAAAGATGGTCATCTGATGACATGGCCAGGGAAGGATCCCTGAAGGGATTTTCCCTGGACTGCAGCCTTTTCAATTTACCAACAGAAGCAATCAGCATTCCTTTAGTTTATATGACTTTC